GTGACCCTCACACGAGTCGTGTGACTCATAAATTGATATTTTATGTTCATTTCATTAGATGAATGTTTTAGGGATGATCATGAGCCTCATATTCATTATGTTTGAATGGATGTTTTCATTTTCAATATGATTGAATGAATGAATGGATGTTTAATTATGTTTTCAATATGATTGAAGAAATGTAATTTATCGAGACCTGCGAGTCTCTTGAGATGAAATTTGTAAAATTTTAAATTTTGTATCGTTAGAGATTAGATCAAGGTGGAGACCGTTCGATGACAAAGGCCCACGCATGTGTGGGTAATTTTACAAGTTGTAATCTCGAAGGCCTGTGCTTGTACGGGTAGATAGAATAAATGTAATAGAAGTAGTTCTACTATTTGTTTTATCACGTACATATGCATAGATCCATTTTGGCTCGAATGGATCGAATAGGAAAGGACATGATCATCCCACCATGCATTAGATGTATGTTAGGTTTATTTACGCTTTCGTTTCATTAGATGACTGAAACTGGTAAATAAACGTAAAGATGGTAATCGATGAGATCAAGGAACCCAAACGGATTAATTTGATTAATTCCATATCAAATCAATAATGGATAAAAATAAGTTGGAACTTATTAATCCAGGCCTTCCATCAAAAGTAGATGACATGAGATGCTACGATGTTTTATCATTGGCCACGAGTCGTGGGATGATTCTATGTCGAAAGCTGTGAACTCTATTAAATATATTGATATTCGTGAGACGGATTCCTCTTTGTGTTGGCCATGAGTCGTGGGACACTCTGGTGGGCCGTTATCATGAAAGTTTTGATGGGTTTGATTTGACACCGAGTAATATATATGGAGTCATAAAATTGAGGTATATAAGGAAAGGTGAGGCAAAACATCTTGAAGGTTGTATAGAGATACAATTGTCAAAAAGTTGACTACCGATAAAATTGTTTCATGGTGGCATCATAAAATTGGGACATGAAATATTTTTATTGGACTTCAAGCCCACTATGAAAATAATGATTTTCATAATTATAATGAGGTTTTAATTAAAATAGTGGGAGACATTTAATATTAAAGACCTAATATTAAATGAATATAAATTCCATAGTTTAATTATTTTCTGCTTCGTTTGTTGTTTTTGTAGATCACTCTACTAAAATGGCTAAAAATCCAATTGCAAGTATCCTTGAACAAAACAAATTAACTGAACCCAATAAATGTTATCATTGTGGTAAAACTGGGCATTGGAAGAAGAACTGCAAGAAATATCTTGCAAGCCTGAAAAGTTCAGGTATTTATTTTGTTGAAGTTAACTTATCAGTTAACGAATCTTCTTGGGTATTGGATACCGGCTGTGGCTCACATATTTGCAATGATTTGCAGATGATGGCAAGAAGCAATAAGCTAGAAGGTGAAGAAACAATCCTAAGGATGGGCAATGGAGCAAGAGTTGCTGCCAAAGCTATTGGGACTGTTTATCTGGCTTTCAATAATGGTGTAAAAGTTTGTCTTTCAAATTGTTTGTATGTTCCTGATATTATAAGAAACATTATTTCTATTCCAATAATGGATAAGGAAGGTTTTAAGTTTGTCATTGAAAATGGAAGATGTTCTATTTTCAAAGATACAACTTTTATATATTCAGGAAACTTGACAAATGGTTTATATACCATTACACCACAAAGTCCCATCCTAACCATTCAACAAAATAAAAGGAAATTAGATAATCATAGTTCATTCACAATTTGGCATGCTAGATTAGGTCATATATCCGAAAAACGGATTCACAAATTGGGACCTAAACTCGACCTTAGGGGAGAGGATAGGTTGCCTACATGTGAGTCATGTCTTAAAGGTAAAATGACTAAACTCGACCTTAGGGGTGTCGCACTGTCAGGCATGAATGAGCCGCGGGGCTGCTGTCCACTCTGTATCGGAGGATCGAAGGCTCTCGAACTGCCAGCCTGGCCAGCGTGACCCATCTGTATAATGCGAGCCTCAATCTCCCTCTCCTGCCTCTCCCGACGAGCATCAGCATCTACAACGCGACTCTTTGTGTGTCGCGGTCCAGAACCCTCAATAATTAACTGTTCCCACTCTTGTTGATTGGTGGGTCTTCGCAAAGTTCCATCAGCCTAAAAATTATTAAATTCAATTTAGTAATTATTCTTAAACACAACATTAAATAATTACAATTTTTTATTATATAGTTATACAAACCTATTATAATTTTTTCAACTTATATTACACTAATAATTATAATTTTACTAATATATTATATATATAATATAGCAATACTATTATAGCAATATTTCTGATAATCTGACCGAATATATAAGAATTTCTAAAAATTTCTGAAAATATAACAAACTGTACAATATTTTTGTTTAATCAATATTTCTCATGCTACTTTAGTTACATTTATGCTTAAAACTAGTTATATGGCACTGTACAGTTTGCTTCAATTGAATAAAGTATATATATAAGTATATAACTATAACCATTTTATTTTGCTTTTTTTGCCCCTTTATGTGAAAATTAAATTTTGTTAATATTTGATGTATAAGGAAGACTAAATGGCATTCACAGTCAAGGAACAACTTTCCTGACTGCATGGAGAAAACTCTAACGTGGTATAATATATTAAATTTATTAATATATATTAATTAAATTTATTAATATATATTAATTTTATTAATCTATATAAAATAAAATATATATTAATATATATATTGATATATTATTTAGTAATCTATTTTAATATATTATGTTATATATATATATAATATATTATTTTTATTAATATAATTTAATATATACTAATATATAATTTAGTTTTTTTTAATTAACTATAAAATATATACTAATTATTAAAATTTTTAAATTACGTATATAATATATTTAATTTTATATATAATATATAATTTTATATTACTAAATAAATATAATTCATTATATAATATATAATTATATATTAATTATTAAATATATTTTAATTCATTATAACATTTAAAAAAATATATATTTCATTCTAGTTAATTATAAAATATATTAATATATATTAACATAAATTATATATTATTATATAATAATTATTAATTTTATAATTAATAATAATTATTATTATTAATTATTAATAATTTTATTAATTATTAATTATATATAATTAATTATATTTCATCTGCGCGAGTGAACGGAGGCCGCACGAGCCGGCCTCGATCCTCTTCCATCTGCGCGAAGCCCGGCCTCAATCAGCTGGCGGCCGGCCCAATGGAGGCCGCCGGCTCTAAAAAAAAAGCATTCAAAAATCGCCGCCGCCGGACCAAGGAGGCGGCGAGCCGTCCAGCCGCCGGGCCAAGGAGGCGGTCAGATATGCGGCCGCAAGTGAACGGAGGCCGCACGAGAGCCGGCCTCGATCGTCTTCCATTTGCGCGAAGCCCGGCCTCAATCCGCTGCCGGTCGGCCCAATGGCGGCCTCGATAGGCCGCCGGCTGTTAAAAAAAAAAAAAAATCGAAAAAAATACCTGCGGGAAGAATATCTTCTTGCCGGCTTGAATCTGTTGTCCGACCATTTTTTCTGATGAAAACGAGATCTCTAAAGTGAGAGAGCAGCGTCTTTTTTTTTTATATATTATGTGAGTTGAGAGAGAGATAGCAGGTTTAATGATGGGGAAGGAGGTGGGGTTTCGACTTTCGAGACTTATCTCAAAATCTCTCTCGTTTGTTTTCTTCTTTTGACTTATTTAAAAATCTTTTTCGTTTTTTTTTAATGAAAGGGCAAAATAGTATTTTGTGGGGGCGGCAAGTAGTAATAAAGGGGCGGTATTTAGCGATTCAGTTTTATTATTCATATAGGAAACAGCTCGTACGAATCACGTGTCAAACTTTTATTTATTATTCATATAGGAAACAACTCGTACGAATCATGTGCACTGCAAGAGTAATAGATATTCTTAATATTTATATTAAATATTTTCATTAAATAATAGAGAAAATTTTAAATTTGGTCCCAACACTTTTGTTGTTTTCCACATTTGATCCCGGCATGCCAATTATGGTCCTTTTTAAATTTTCGTTGCCAATTTGGTACCACTCCGTCAAGACTTAACAGTCTTCTTAAGTAACATGTTAGTCGTTATTTTTAATTTGTTATCTTTTATTTGAAAATCGAACTGTCACTCTCATTAACAAAATCGAGTCCTCTCTCTCTCTCTCTCTCTCTTGCGAAAATTAGGGCAGAGATTTCCATCCAAATTCATCACAAAAATCGACATGAACCCTAGATAAAACTGAAATCAGACGCCGGCAGTGCAACATACTTCGCTCAGAGGATGCAGCGTGTTCTTCAAACCCGAAATACGGTAACATTTATTGTCGTGATTCTTCTTTCACTCGCAAGGCTTTTTTTTTTTTTAATTTTGTAAGCATTCGGCATTTGTTATGTTAGTTTTGTACATTATTTAGGGTTTTTTGTTCTGTATATATAGTAGATGATGGAATTTGATAATTTAGGGCTTTAGAGTTTATTTTATTTGACAATTTAGGGCTTTAGGGTTTATTTTATCTGATAAATTAGGGCTTTAGTGTTTATTCCTTACAATGTAATTGATAATGTTGGGATTAATGTACGTGGTCCACTAACATTCGTTTTCTGATAAATTATGAACTTTAATGTTGGGATTTAATGTATCTGGGACATGTTTGTGATGACTTATGAGTGGTGGTCCATGAATTTGTTATGTTCCTTTTCAAGTAGACAATTTCAGTGGTGGTCCATGAACTTTATTGTTATGTTGTTTATTTTTACAAGTGATGAGTGGTGGTCCATTGTATCAAATTTTTTATTTGTTTCATGTTATTGAATTGCAGGTAGCAAAGACGCTTATTACCTTACCTTGAAAATACACCATGATGGGGTTATAATGGATGATATAAGTCCAGGACATCAGTGGGAGGAGAGATTAGTGCATTTGATTATGTGGACAAAAGTAAAGTTAACATGGGTGACTTGTGTAGATTCTGTGAGGAGTTGGGTTATGGTGGAGTCAAAAGGTCTTACAGGTTTGACTCCTTCAAAAAGTTTAGGGAGTTAACCATGGAAACAGATTTGTTATTGGCTATTGATAGGCATAAGAAGAGAGAAGTCCATATATGGTTAGATGCTGAGAAAACATGGAATATGAGTGTAAGTGATGGGGGTGTTCCTGTAGGTGATGGAGGTGTTGCTGTAGGTGATGGAGGCGTTGCTTTAGGTGATGGGGGTGTTCCTGTAGGTGATGGTGATAAGAGTGTGCCTGTAGGTGATGGAGATAGGAGTGTGCTTGAGGATGAGGGTGACCAATGTGAGGATGAAGACTTTTGTGCAAGTATGAACACTGACAGTGGTTTTGATGATATCCTTTTTGAAGAATATGTTGAGGCAGAAGAGTGTGTGTAGGGGCCTAAACAGAAAGAGAACCAACATGAGGTCGATGATGAAATGTCCACTGACAGTTCCAGTTCCAATTCCAAGTGCACAGAGGATAGCAGTCATGATGATTTCTCTAGTTGTAGTGACTCAGATGAAGAAAATGGGAAAAATGAGGAAATTGAGAGCAATGTCTTCAATGAGGGCCATATTAACAATCCAAAGTTTGAACTTGGCCAGAAGTTTCCCTCCAAGAAGATGTTTAAGCAAGCCATTGCTAACCATGGAGTGTTAACCCACAGAAGCTTGAAGTTTACCAAAAATGATAAAAGAAGAATTTATGTTGAGTGTTATGGAGAGGAAAATGGGTGTCCCTGGGCAATTAATGTTATTAAAGTGACCAATGAAGAAGCCTACATGATAAGATCTTACAATTACAAGCACTCTTGTGCAAGATCTTGGAAAGTGAAGAATTTGACATCAAGATGGATTGCAGACAAATATGAAGAAGCATTCAGAAGTGATCCTCAAAGATCACTCAGGGGTTTCAGGACAGATGCAATTAGTGATCTAAGGTGCTATGTATCTAAGAACAATGCATTCAGAGCCAAGCAGTTTTCTTTGAAGGAAATTGAGGGTGACCATGCAGACCAATATGCCAAAATGTGGGATTATGCTGAAACGTTGAGAGAGAAAAATCCTGGAAGCACCATCCTGTTGACACTTACAGATGCCCCTGGTCCTGATGGACCGAAAAAGTTTGAAAAAATCTACATTTGCTTAGCCCCATTGAAGGCTGGATTTATTTCTGGATGGAGAAAGTTAATTGAAGTTGATGGTTGCCATTTGAAGAATATGCATGGTGGAATTCTACTCACAGCTGTTGGGGTAGATCCTTCTAACAATCCATATCCTGTGGCATATGCAGTTGTTTGGGGAGAAAAAAAAGATTCTTGGTCCTGGTTTCTGAGATATCTGAAGATGGATTTGGATATTGTTAATGAGGAGGATTTGGATATTGTTAATGACAAACAGAAGGGCCTAATTCCTGCATTTGAAGATGGGTTTCCCAGGTCTCATAACAGATTTTTTTTGAGACACTTACATGCCAACATGCAGACAGCTGGGTTCAGAGGACTTGCATTTAAGAAGGCTTTATGGAGAGCAGCCAAAGCAACCATAGTTCCTAATTTTAGAGAGGCAATGAAAAGGGTTGGAGAAATTGACCCAAAATGCAACGAATGGCTTGAAGAAAAACCTGCAAAATAGTGGTCAAAATCCCACTTCACCACATGTGTTAAATCAGACATGTTGTTGAATAACATATGTGAGGTGTTCAATAGTTGTATTCTAGAGGTCAGGCAGAAACCAATCCTAACCATGCTGGAATGAGTGAGGCAGTACTTGATGAGTAGGTTGCAAGAGAATAGGGACATGGCTGAGAGAAAGTGAGAGGGTAAGAAGATATGTCCTAAGATCAGAAAAATTGTAGATAGTCATGAAAGCAAGTCATGTGATTGCATACCAATCAAATCCACTGATTGGGGTTACCAACTGGATTGTAGTGGTGGTGATCGACACATTGTGAACTTGAAGCACAGAACATGTAGCTACAGGAAATGGAATTTGACTGGAATTCCATGCAAGCATGCATGCAGTGCATTATTGGCACAAGGGCATCAACCAGTGGACTTTGTGGATGAATGTTATTCATGTGAAACCTATGCCAAAGTGTATGAAGTAGCCATTAATCCAATATCTGGACCTAATATGTGGGATAGGACAGGATACATTCCTCCATTACCTCCAAATTTTAGAAAAAGAAAAAGGGGTAGGCCTGTGAGTGCGAGAAGGATGGGAGCAGGTGAAGATAAGGGTGGTGGTAAAAAAAACCAAATTTAGACAAAAAATTCAAAAGCAAATGGGACAGATGACTTGTAAGTTTTGCCATCAAAAGGGGCATAATCAAAGAACTTGTGAGTGGAAGAAGCTAGCTGAAAGTGGACTTCAAGATGGTGCCTTTGACATGGGAGCTGAAGCTGAGGAGTTGACTCAAGGAGATGAGTTCCCACTTGCATCCCTCTTTTCTGAAAGTCAGCCTCAATCCCAGCCTCAATCCCAAATGAATGTGAGTTACTTATGTCTTGTTCTATTTGAATGTTTATGTATTCCTTTTATATTGTTTCTTTTATGAAATCAAAGGTTTTTTTTTTTTCCAACGATAAAATTTCTCCATTCATAACTAAAACAATAACAGTACAAGGGGAATCCCCGAATCCTGGGTCACTGGGAGGACAAGCCAAAATGGCTGCCTAGACGAGATCAAACCACAACTGACTGACCAAAGCAAGCCTACTACAACTAATACATCCATACTACATAACCCAATACAAGGACACAAACATAACAGACAAATACGGAAAAATACACCACTGACACTAGACCTAGTCTATCCCTCCGCAATCCTGTTATGTCTTCTTGTTGCTTTCCTTGAAGTCCAACCAATCTTTCATGGCAGCTTGAACAATCCATCTCTCCGAGTACCATTTCTTCTCAAAAATCCATAAATTTCTGGCCCGCCATAACCACCATAGGATATAAGTCGATAACTGTATTCTGGCCTCAGAAATTTCCTTGTAGTTCATAGAAGAAATCCACCACCACCATTCTTTAAAGCTCATTTTCTCCTGCTGTATTCTGTTCCATTTCACTGGTGCCAATTTCCATGTCAGTTTGGCTCTACCGCAGAAGAAGAAAACATGCTCCTGTGTTTCCTCCTCTTCACCACAGATCCTGCACATAAGCTGAATATCCATTCCTCTCTTAAGCAAATTAGAACTAACAGGAATAATACCTGAGAAGCATTGCCATATAAACAGTTTGACCTTCCCCATCACTTGCAGATTCCAGCATCTGTTTCTAGCCCTTTTGTTCCCCTCTGCCATTCTGCTACATTCAGTAATGTTGCTGTTGTGCCTATCATTTTTCATCAGCCACGAGTAAGCTTGTTTAACAGAAAACTTCCCTTTCCCCTTCCCTTGGAAAGAGAACCTCCATTTGTCAGCCACATTTGGATTCAGAGTATTGATTTGCAGAATCAGATTAGCATCCCTTTCTTCAAATAAAGCTTTAATCAGAGTTGAGTCCCAGTGCAAGCCTCCAGCAATGAGGAGATCCTTTACCCAGAAAAGGCTGCCATTTATTTCAGCTTTCAGTGTAGGAGATCCACCATTCAGTCCAGGAACCCAATTGCATTCACTTATCTTTGTTTTAGCACCATTTCTGACAGTGATCTGGAACTGTTTCTGCAGAATAGGTAAAAGAGATGCCCAAGAGGTCCACAGCCAAGAAGCACCACCAGTATTTTTCCATTCAAAAATAGAAGTCACAGGAAAGTACTTACTGCGCAGCACCTTGCTCATAAGTAGATCAGGTTGCTCAGTAATTCTCCATAGCTGCTTCATGATCATAGCTTTATTGAATAGTTTAAGGTCCTGAAACCCTAGCCCACCTTCACCTTTAGGCATAGCCATTCTTTCCCAAGCCAGCCAATGAACACTTCTCCTTTGATTGTCACCCTTTGCCCACCAAAAATTTGCCAGTAATCTGCATATATCTTTACAAACACTCTGTGGCAAAATGAAACAGGACATTACAAAGACTGGTAGAGCACTTAGGACTGACTTTATGAGTGTTTCCTTCCCAGCTGTGGATAGAAAACAATTCTTCCACCCACTAATCCTTTCCCTAACAGCCTCCACCACAAATTGAAAAGTGTCAACCTTAGAAACTCCAATCCCAAGTGGCAGTCCCAGATACTTAGAAGATCTCTTCACAATGATCCCTTGCAGAATAGAGCAAATCTTTCTCTTAGTTGCCTCGGCACAATTTTTACTCAAGAACATAGATGATTTGTGGAGGTTCACCTTTTGCCCAGCAAACTTCTGATATTTGTGAAGGATTTCCAGTAAAAGAGTGGCATGGTCTTCATCAGCTTTGCAAAACACCAGGGCATCATCAGAAAATAGAAGATGAGACAGCATAGGCCCATTTTGAGAAATTCTGATACCTGAGAACTGATTTATAGTGATCTTATGCTGCAGATAGGCAGAGAATAGCTCAGATACAATGATAAAGAGATATGGTGACAAAGGGTCACCCTGCCTGATCCCCCTGGAAGCAGTAACATAGCCACAGACAGTGCCATTAAGATTGAATGAGAAGGAAGGATATGAAATACAGCTAAGAACTCTGTGAACAAACTTTGCATGAAAGCCCATTTTGAGCATAGTTTTCCTGATACTCTCCCATTCCACCCTATCATATGCTTTCTCCATATCCAATTTAACAGCCATGAATGCATTAGAACCAGACCTATGCCTATGAAGATAATGGAAGACCTCATGAGCAATAACCACATTATCAATTAATTGCCTACCAGGGACAAAAGCTGTCTGAGCCTGACTGATGCATTCATTAAGACAGATTTTCAACCTCTCAGCCAGTATCTTAGCAATGAGCTTATACAACACACCACACAAGCTTATAGGTCTATAGTTGCTCAATGTTTCAGGGTAAAAGCATTTTGGTATCAGGGTAATGACAGTATGTTTCCAGTTTCTCAACACATGCCCAGAATCAAAGAACTCCTTCACAGCCTTGCACACATCCCCTTTCAAAATATGCCAAAAATGTTGGAAGAAAATTGCTGACATACCATCATTTCCAGGAGCTTTTTCAGGGACCATATTGAATAGAGCGGTTTTGATTTCTTCCTCCAGCACTGGTTTGATTAGTTCATTATTGACAGCATCCGATATGGAGTAAGGTATCTGTTGAAGAAGCTCCTCTCCATCCCTGGACCCCTCTGAGGTAAACATAGTAGAATAAAAATCTGAAATGTGATGCTTCATGGTTTCCTGAGTGTCACAAACCACCCCCTCATTAGTTACCAGCTTGGAAATTGTGTTTGTTCTCCTTCTCTGTGAAGTAGCAGCATGGAAATATTTTGTATTCCTATCACCAGCTTTGAGCCATAGAACTCTTGATTTAAGCCTCCAAAACTGTTCTTCTGCTTGATGAGCACTGTCAAGTTCAGTTTTTAAAGAGTTCCAAGCTTTCCAGTTCCTATCAGGTCCCTCACACCTCATCTCTTCCAGAATGCCAGTGAGATGCTTAATAACAACAGCATTATTCCTGTGCATGGGTTTGTGCCAAGCTAACAGTGCCATCCTTGTGTTCTTAACTTTTTGATGAACCTGGTACATAGCAGTACCCTCCACATCCCCCTGCCAGCCATTCTCCACAGCCTCTTGAATACCTTCTAGCTTGAGCCAACTGCTATTAAAGACAAATCTCTTGTGCTTTCTGTCTATCTCTTTGTCAGTATCAATGAGTATCACATTGTGATCAGATGCAGTTCTATAAAAATTTGATACTTCCATTTTTGGAAATTGGCCCATCCAGTCATAAGAGACAAACACTTTATCCAATCTCTCCTCCACATACCCATCCTCAGCTCTGTTATTACCCCATGTAAAGAAAGAGCCGATTTGATCCAACTCCTGCATCTTCATTCTGCCAATGAATTCATTGAAGCCCACAAAACTAGCAGGACTCCTTGTCACTCCCCCCCTCTTCTCAGCATTACTAGAAATATCATTCCAATCCCCAGCTATAGCCCAACAACCTCCCCACTTTGGTCTACAGGTCTCAAGTTCTTCCCATTGCAGCTTCCTAATACTTCTGTCAGTACTTAGGTATACAAAAACAAACCAGCACCATTCAGATATTCCTGGACCTTTGACTTCCATCTGGATACAGAAGTCATTCCCCACAAGTTGTCTCACCTCAGTATCAACATCCCACATGACTAATAACCCCCCTCTAGTCCCCAAAGGTTTCTCCAAATGCCATCTATTCTGGAAACCCAGTTTTTTACACACAGTTCTTGTGAAGTCACTAGATTTTTTGGTCTCAGATAAAAATATAATATTAGGGTGATGGATCCTTCTGGAATCCTTGATTTGGGAAACTGTAGAGGGCCCACCCAACCCTCTACAGTTCCACACCATGGCCTTCATTGGTCACATTGGGGCCACTTGAGGCTGGCCTTCTCCACCTGCGATTGCCCAAAGTTTGTCTTCTTTCTCCTATCCACAAGAGGTTCCTCAGTTTCTTCAGTCTCCTCAGTATAAAACACAAGTTCCCTGCTCCTTTTTATTCCAGTGATATTCTCTTCCTCTTGGAAAGTTTCAGAAATCCTAGATAGCCTCCCACCTGTAGTAACTCTCCTTTTCCATCCTGCACCATTTGCCTTTTTCCCTATCTTACCACTAGCCTCCTTAGTCAGCTTTTGAGAAGAACTAGGCATTACTTCCATTAAATCATCTGTCTCCCTCAAAACAATGCTGTTTAAGTGAGACTCCATATTTTCAGAGTCCATTGCTTCCCTTCTGACTAAAGCAAGATTGAGGTTGTCCTCTCCAGTCCTCTCAGCACTTTCAATAATCTCCATGCCCTGTGGTGGTTTAGAAGGTTTATCAGCTCCTCGGGCCTCCTCGTTGCTTTCCTGTTCTTTGTTTGTCTTGGTTGGTTCACAAGATCCTTGTTTTGAGTTTATAGGAGGAGTACTCACTCTTGCTCCCGAAGTACTAGAGAAACTACTTCTCCCCCCCGGTGTTGATTCACTTGCTTTAAGCCACTCACCAAATTGCCCTTCAGAAACGGCTTTTTTCTCAATATCCTCAATTCTTCGATCACAAGCTCTATCCAGATGCCCAATCATTCCACAATAGTAGCAGAGGTTTGCAAGTCTTTCATACCTGAAAGCAACTAAGACTTTTTCATTGCCAAGCTTGACACTAGTGCATCTCGGAATAGGTTCGTTCAGATTTAGAGCCACCAGAATCTTTAGAAAACTACCAGTTTCTCCACCTGTTTTACAAACCACAACATTCTTAACTTTATTGAAAATTTGTCCAATCCGCAACCCAACTTCTGTGCTCATCCAGTTCAGAGGTACATTGATGACTTGCACCCATATGTTGATTTCCTCGAAACATGAGTGGTTACTATGTAGCCCCGGAAACCATTCTTTAAGAATAAGATACTGGTTCTCATACAGCCAGTTGTTACCAGCAACTACCTTCCGTTTGTCTTCCATTGAATTGAAAATAAACTGGAAAAAGTTTGAGCTTATCTCCTTTACCTCCATTGCAGTTTGTAGTTTCCAGATTGCCCCCATTGTACGTTTTATTCCCAAAATGCCAGCTTTCCTATCTCCCACGACTTTCCCAAATAAGCTCATCGCACATTCTTCCTCGCTCTTTTTAACATCTTCATTTCTCAGTTCAATCTCTCCTGCTTCCTTCGCCGAGAAAGATATTGCCTGAAGCTTTTTCATGACCCCCTCTGTCATTCCACTATATGAAGCGTGACCTGGAGATTTATCCCCCATTTGATCAGCCCAGTAACCCTACTGCTCCAAAAAAAATCCAACCCAACTTGCAACTCCAATGCTCACGCCTGATCTCCCCAAACTCCTAATATTCACAATAAGTATGAATCGAGTCACCCTCTCAACCTTCACCGAAGGAATATCCGAGCTCTCACCTGAGAGAATATTTCGCTCTCACCTGAGAGAATCTATATCCTATGAAAGGTTGTTTGTTTGTTTTTTTTTTTTTTTATTATATAGGCAACAACATCAAATGGAGCAAGAAAAGGCACTAAAGAGGCTGCTTCTTCAAGTAATCCAATGCCATAAGTCCTCTATTCATTTCCTCCATTATCTGCAGTTTTTTGTTTGTTGAAGTAATATATTTTGGTTATGTTTTGTGAATATTTTTGGGACTTGGAACTTGGGTGTGCTGTGAACAATGCATGTAGCATATGGTGGTGGCTTCTTTCGATCTTTTGGCTTCTTTTGAACTTAGGTATGATCAAGTGGTGAATTGGTATTGAATTGGTATGAATTGTTATGAACAATGGTTGTTGAATTGAATGGACAGTGGTGGTTGTGTTTGGATTTGATATGAGCAATTGTGTTTGCTGCTTTATTTGTTTTTCATTTGGTATGCCCAATGGTACTTGGTCTGAATGTGTGGAATGTGTATAATGGTGCTGCTTTTTTTGTTTTTTTCTTTGCAGTGGTTGTATATATAATGGTGCTTGTTGGGCAGTCTAAAATTGTTCTATCAANTATACACTTGTTGGTGCTGCTTTAAGAACAATCAATGGTGTTGCTTGTTTTTTTGGTTCAATTCTGTGGGTTTGTTAGAAAGAATAAAATTGAATGAAATAAGGCTGTTGGCAAATTAGAAGCATTAGTTAATATAGAGCACTATGCTGCTTACATAGAAAATCAGAAACAACATACATTAGGGCAAATACCATACATGATATGCTCATTTTTTAAACATCAACACCAACCATGATATTATAAGTAGTAGCATTAAAATGTTGTTCTTCTTATTGAGTTGACTATTGTCTTTTTCCAGCTTCTTCACCTTCTTCATTTTTTTTCTCATTTGCTTCAAGAGTAGTTGCACTCTCATGTCTCCGGTTGGTTTCATCTTCTAGGTGATTTATTTTAAGCAACAAACAAGGTATTATTTCCTTTGATCTTGCACACATCGGAGGGTCAAACCACCTCCAAAATGTGCAAGCGTTCTCCTCGAAATATAGGTACCTCCTTCCGGGATTGGCTGACGTCCATGAGGTTGTCATTCGAGCATACTTACCGCAAAAACAAAGAACTCCGGTTTCTCGCATCGACGAACTTGAAGAACTCATTTTATCTTTTTTTTTTTTTGTTTTTTTTTTTTTTTGGTGGAAGATGGTTGGAGATGAAGAATTGATCTTGTGTTGATTATTATTTATAAGGGGCTGCGTTCACAATTTTCCCGCCATTTGAAGATGAAGCAGCTAATTTTCCCTCCCTTTAGACCTAGCAGACTTTGACTAACGTGTTACTTAAGAAGACTATTAAGTCTTGACGGAATGGTACCAAATTGGCAATGAAAATTCAAAAAGGTCCATAATTGGCATGCCTGGGACCAAATGTGGGAAACAACAAAAGTTTTGGGACCAAATTTGCAATTTTCTCTTAACTACTAATATTTATAAATCGTAATATAGAATTAATATATAATATAATTTATCTATATTAATTTATTAAAAATATTGTATAAAATTTAGATTGTGCAACACTACCTAAACTATTAAAAATTAGTACACAACTCGTGTGGTGCACATAACTAATAATAGATTACATTATATACGTTTCAAAATAAGTGTCATTTCAAAAATTTTATTTACAAATTCAAATTGACAATAATGCATTCCATAAAATACTTATTTTGGTAAAACTTTATCATATATTTAAAAACCTATGTGAATAGTAAGTATAAATATAAAACTTATATTGTTTCATTAATTAAAATGAATTTATTTTGGTATAAAATATCAAAATAAAAAAATTTAAGTAGTTGAATAATTTATTAAATTATAAATAATTGACTATGTCATTTACGCCCAAGTTAATATTTTACCTGTTAGTTATGAATAATTACTTAATTGACTTTTAGATTTTAGAAAACAGTATAATTTTTTTTTTCGTGTAACAATTACTATTTTTAAAGAATCTAAACATATATATATATATATATGGTGCACTCCAGTGAGAATGAGTGTCAACGAAAGAAATAAGAATAGATCTTGACCACATGATTAATATGATCATACGGACAGCATCAGTCCGCAGGCACATAACTAGAAGGGTAGATTTGTAATTACATTATGCACACCACTCACGCCTCACATATCCCCTGAAGGAGAAATCACGATTACAACATAGACATTAAAATTGGGTCTAGGGTTCATATGTTGCCTGCGAGTAGATGAAAATCAGTAACCCGTGGATTCGACATTGAGCTCCTGACAATCCGCACATCGACATCGTGGTTATTCACAAATCGCACATTAAAATCGGCCACGTACAGAGTTCAATCGCACAGAAATCAGGTTCATCATCTTTATTACTGTATTTTTTTCCCTTTTTTGACCGGGATCTGACATACACATATTCTGAATATGTTGTGACTCGTAATTGGGGGAAACTAACGATCCTCTAATTAATTTAGGTTTTTTTGTTCAATACGTCATATTCATGGAAGAACTTGTGGAGCTTGTTGAAACACAAGAAGGTATTTAGAACATGAAATCGTTGCTTAATTATGTTTTAATTAATGAGTGTAATTTGGTATATTATGATGTGTAATTGCATTGTATATTCATATACTGTGGTTTGCACAAATTTGGTGAACATATCATGGAGGCCACAGTGTGCATGGCATCGAACGTAAATGTGTATGGTATAGTACGTAACTGTGCATGGCAATACACATTATTGTGCATCCTTCATCTTCTGTTTAACTAATTATTTATTTATATTTACTTTTTTTCCTTTTTGGTTTTATTCGTATATTATTGTAGATTCAATCCCAATATCAGCACATCAACTCCATCAGCTAACCATCACGCCGGGTGCCACTAAGTATTGGATACCACACTGTGATGATGCACTTAGGCCCTTCAAAGGGCAGAGATTTCGAGGGCTTAACGAGGCAGTTGTTTTCTACAATATGTATACTTCTACGGTTGGTTTTGATGTTCGCCACAACACTTTGATCAAGGTGAGAGATAAGAAGACTATGCTTTAGAAATATTTAGTATGTTCAAGAGAGGGCTACAAACACCACACAAACATAGACCAATCAGTGCGTCCGTGAAGGCGCATGGTGTCCAACCGAGTGGGTTGCAATGCCCGAATTGTGCTTCGAGTTGGTGGACCCAACAACTATGTTGTTCGATTTTTTGAAGAAAAGCACAACCATCTGATGACGGCTGATGAGTGTAGAGCACGACTAAAGATCAATCGGACGATGACGGCTGCTCACCTAACCTTTGTCCTCAATTGTATAAAGGCCAACATAGGCCCTATCAAGTCGTACAAGTTGTACAAAGAAATTGTTGGAGGATATTCGAACGTTGGCGCCACCAATGTGGAGTTCATGAACTTCAAGCGAGAGCTCATGGGGTACATTCTAGGAGCTGATGCACAGTTGGTCATCGAGAAGTTTTATAAACACCAAGAGAATAGCTCCGCCTTTTATTTTCGCTACGAGCTCGACGAAAATGACTGCTTACACAAGCTTTTTCGGGCCGATACGATATCAAGACGTAACTATGTGTCTTTTGATGATGTTGTATCATATGATGCAACATATCGCACCAACAGGTACATTAATTCTACGTATACGTATCAGTTACATAATTATTTTGTTCTTGCACGACGTTGTTATTAATACTGCACAATACATCATAAGTTCTTGCACATTATATAACCAGAATGTGCACTGCTGAAACATGTTGTTGTTTCTTGTAGGTACAATATGGTTTGCACCTTTTACCGGCATAGACAACCACGGAAATTGTGTAACATTTGCAGCCGCTTTGATAGCGAAGGAAGACGTCAATTCTTACGTATGGGTATTAGAAAACTTCAAGAATGCGATGATTCACGAGCCCAACTACATAGTCACATACCAAGACCCCTCGATTGGAATTGCTTTCTCCAAGGTATTCACTAGTAGCAAGCACCGCTTTTGCATGTAGCACATCATGAATAAATTATGTTTCAAAGTCGGACATGCTTTAAATAATGACGCCAATTTCAAAAGAGGCTCAGTGAAATTGTTTGGAATAGGAACATTGAACCTGCCGAGTTTGAAACTAAATGGGCTTCTATTATGCATGAATATCGCTTAGACACCCATAATTGGTTCATTGATTTGTTTGCTAAGAGGGAGTATTAGATACCGACATATTTTAGAGATGCTAGGATGAGTGGGCTTATAAGGACTACCTCTAGATTGGAAAGTGAAAATAATTGGTTTAGCAATTTTATAAGTAACCAATCAAGCTTAGTCGAGTTTCTGTTGCATTATGATAGTGCAATGGACGCACAACGGAACACGTCAATGAAGTTACAAAGTGACACTGAAACTCACATGGCTGACCTAAAAACCCCTTTGCCGGTTGAAAAACACGCTTTGTCTGTGTACACCACAACAATATTTTATCGTGTGCAAAATGAAATATGTGACGCGTGTTTCAAATGTCGATTGATGCAATTATCCGAAACTGACGATGAAATGACGTTTGTGATAAAAGATGTTGATGGGAAGTCATTTACGGTAATACACAATGTCAGTCTAAAAACATCGCAATGCTCTTGCAAACACTTTGAAATGTACGGGTGGTCATGTAGGCATGTTTTTGTCGTGTCCAGAGACATAAACTTGGAGGTTATACCACCTGCTCATGTCATGTCGAGGTGGACAAAGCTTGCCATTAGAAAACCTATGTTCAATGTTATTGACAACATTTCAGACCAATGTGCCCAAATAGATGATAAGAAATTCATGATGAATAAGCTATGGTCTGACATACACACTTGCATGGGATTGATTGAGACACGCATGGACCAACTGGTCGAGTTCTCCAAACTCATTGGGGAACATAAGAGAAAGCTCGTAATAGAACAGGAGGGCGGGGATTCAACCGTAACTGAAAGGGAAAAGAGATTTGAATCTTTTGTTGGGATCTGCCCCACAACATATACAGATCCAACCTCCGACACAATCAAAAAACAAAGGGAGTGGGAAAAGGATGAAAGAGTGTCAAGGAGAAGTCGATCGAAAAGTCACAGAAAAAAAAGAAGGTTGTGCAAGACATGCGGCGAGAGACAGGACACAATACACGGACCTGCCCGAAAAAAACAATATGTATAACATCCGACCAGCATTCATAGGTATGTATAATTCTTATAATTATGACGATGATTTATTTATTTATTTATTTATTCCTTGCGTTAACTCTGCCGGTACTATGATATTGTTAAAATGCATCAAACCACTGTAGGTTAAGGTTTAATGCAACAGGCTGTTGGATAGTTTTGGCTACAGTCAGGTACATGAAATTACTATTGTGTATTGTAATCATGATTCGTATGTGTTATTTTCACACGTTCATATTTTAATACTATATAAGTATCACTGATGTGTACTAATTATAACCTTACACGTGCAGACACCAACGGACACCATTATGCTACGATAATCTTTTACTTTCGGATGCAATCGTGAGGATATAAGTTGATTTCGGTTGCAGCATCTTGATGTAGTTGAAATACTTTCATGACCACTACAAAAATTACAATATTGATATTCGTGTATCACAAATACATTAATGTTTTCATTGTTCTGAGTTCATCCTGGTGATGGTGTTATGTCATTTGCATTGATTTTTTTTTTTTTNCAATTATTGGCATTAAGTGGGTTATTGATATGGAAAGACAACAAAATAACATAAATAATTTATACAGTTTCACGCACACATTATCGTATTATATATGCACAATATATGTAACACTTTTGCACATTAAACATACTCACTATACCTACGGGTTATGAGAATAAAAAAAAGTCTGTGTGATAGTATAATATAGCTATTAGTTAATCAAGTAAGGTGATGAATAGATAACTAAACATAAGTACGATTCTCATCTTATTTATATGATTGCATAAGATATGCACTACAACGTATACATAATTAAATAAATGTAATAAAATAAATAAATAAATAGAACAATATAGTAATTACTAAATAAACAACTACATAAAAAAAACTAAATAAATAAATAAACGTACAATCTAATAACTAATATATGAAACCAAGTATAAGTCTAAGCTGCACAATAGTATGTATGAGGCCGCATGATAAACATGTATAAACTGCACAACATAAAAATGTACAGACCACACCGATATGAACGCGAAAGGTTGATGCTGCACATAAGATTGAATACCCAACAGTTTAGTCATACGTCAAACTGACGTCCAAAACGCAAAAGCATTCACAAAACCCCATGCGTCAACACCTACATCGTTATGATCGAGTTCGTCAAAAGACACCAAACATTCACAAGACTCCAATGCAAAACGTAATCACATACTACGTTAGATCAGTCTTACAAAACACTTAACCATCTACACATTGACACGAGCAGACACACAAGCACTTAACAAAAATGAATTTGTGTGATGTTGTTGATGTTTTCTTGTTTGCAAGGTGCACCAGGTGAAACCTTTGTGCTTCTACAAGATTGAGTTCATTCAACTTGTTGTTCAGTGCAAAGGCTATAACACAGATGCAGCGCTTTCTGATAAGCTTGATCTGGCCCTTGTCTGCCTTTTTCAGTTGCGGGTTCCAAGTTTTCGCGATGCCACCCTTAAACGTTTCCATGTGGCGCATTGTGATCACCCCGATGTCTGCCCTGTCGACACCCTCAGTCCACGCCGTGTCAAACACTTCAGGGACAACCAGTCCAATTAATTTGGATTTCTTCACCAGGTTCCTTTCGCCTTGAAACTTTGAGATCGAGCATTGCTACAATAAATGTGATAATGGTTATAAAATAAAATAAAATTATAATCTGGCAAGCATACTTATATAAAACATAATTATATTTATATAATTACCAATTACTCGGAACGCGACACAACCGATTTCTTAAGAGCATCCTTTTTGCAACTTTCGGAACTGTCTATAATTGTCAACTTTTGGGATTTTGAAACAACACATATTAAGCCGGAAAATGTCTCGGAGTGTACCGGAAATAAAAACTGCAATGACAATAAAACATGGCCGACATTAATTATCACTCTGCAGATTTATTGTATGCGTCCCATCGACAACACATGTCTATTTATTAACACCACAAAATAATATTCCCCTGAATAATATTTTTATTAGACAGTAAAAATATCAGGTTTCAATGTTAGATGAAATGGCTTGAGACGGTAGTAAACAGGAACAATCAATTTATATATCACTTATCACACATGTGTACATCATAGATAACAATTTCATTTATATATAACATTATGAAAATATGACGACGATAAATCCAACAGATAAACAAAATTGGCAATTAAGTTTAAGACTAATCATCTATATAATTTGTAATAAAGAAATCCACAAGATGATTCGGTAATTAATAACATACCACATGTATTTGCTTCAATTGGTAAATGGACATTCGAGCAATTTCCGAGTCTAGCGTCTGAGCAAACTTTTTATAGTTTAGCACTTCTTCCGTTTTCCCTCGAAGAACAACTGCGAGCCACAATAGCATCATACATTATAAAATCGACTTAAACATATAATATTCATACCTCGTCAATGTTAGATAACTAACGTAAAATAATGTATCGTACCTCATTGCATGGGGAAGTGGATGCGAAAAAACGTGTTGCAGCACCACGACTTCTGAGATCCTCATTGTTATTTAGTATGTAAGACCACAGGTCGAGCAACTCATTCGTAATTGGAGTGTCTGGTGCCAGACATGCCACAACCGACCGCCTCACAGAGTATTCAGGTGACTGAAATACAATCACGCCACTACACATTTCACAAAAACGTGAATCAGTTAAGACTAAAGCATTCTAATACACAAGTATAACCGAATGTATAAACATACGATTGAATACAATAATCACTATATAAACAAATCCATACTCATCAAGAACGCCATTCTTCAGTATCCAGTTCACACACATCTTCTCATCCCCATCGAGCTTTTTAGTCACATCAATTTCCCTCTTCATATAAGGTGATTTAGTCACACTGGTCGGCTTGATGCGCCTCTTTGGCCTCGGAGACACATTTACATCATCACCACGAGATATTTCGCCAGCAGTTTCTGACCAAAAAATAAATAAGCAAAAATAATGGCGTAGAGCATAATTTATTACATTAAGTATATGTGGAAATTATATATATACCTGCAGTTACAGGATCTTTGTTATGCAACCCAATTTCTTCACCGATTGCCGTATGATCTGACGAACCAGCACCATCTTCATAAACAATGATAAAAACATATTAATCTTACACAAATAATTTGCATATTAAAAAACACTACATAAACTATAAAATAAACTGTAAATTTATCAAATACCTCTTTGCACATCTATACCTGGTGACTTCTCAGCATTTTGATGCTTTCCATCGTGTCCAGCAACACTGCTAGTATGTTGACAGGTGTCATATTCATCATCGTCATCCGAAAATATGCCTAAGCTAAAACTAGGAACATCAAACTGCATCCTCTTGAAATGATCACATCGCTCAACCGCCTTCAAAATTGCATCTATTGCCGCTAATGTTTCAGGATCATTCCAAAATGCATCGTCTACTACCTGGTATGTAGCACCCTTCTCATTGTCCTTAGCTATATCACTCGCAGGGACCGTATGATCTTGCCGTCTTGGATCATGATTGTCGGGGTTTGCTTTAGGCGAATCAATATACACACCTAACAACTTCTGCGCCGCGCCTTATATTTTCATAAAGTTTTCATCTCCAACTAGAACTTGGGGTGCCTTATTAACCAACTGTAAAATTTCATCTCCAATTGTAGCGAGAAGTCGAGTTTTAGACGCAAATTCTTGGACGTAAGCCTGTTAATAAAACAAAAAAAAAAGACATTGCACGTTTAAACATGAAATTATAATCCCACAACAGATGCACAATCCACACATAGAGACGGTATATAACCATGCACATTTTTATTCAACACAATGCACAATTTTGCATTGGATTGAGCACAATATATATCGACGAAAAAAAAAGGAAACGAAGACAAAACAATGCATATTGTATCCAAAATAGTGAACAAAAAAATAAAAAATAAAAAAAAATTATAAAAGATAAAAAAGGATAAAGTGCAGACACTATATATGGATACAAAACAATCCATGAGATAATTAAATAACAGGCACATTAATGACAATAATATTTCATACCTGGACATTGGATTCCATTGTGATCCTGCCCTTGTTATCATTGGTTGTTGCTCCATCTCTATCAGACTTGTGATAGTCGACGACCACATGCGTGTCCGCATCGACAAATCCCCTTCCAAATGCTCCAACAGTAATCTCGTCCTGTTCCCTAGCTCTTAATGACTCATTGGTCCATAAAAGAAAAATCGGAAACGATCTGTCAATAGATCTCATTGACAGAACAACCTTGTCCACATAAAATAGCTGCAACATAATTATGTAATAAATCAGACGAACCGGCAAATACTAATGGAATATATTAAAAATAATAATTTTAATAGAAAAAATCAAAATGACTGACCGTCATAAACAACAATGGACCAGTATCCTTCTTTTGTTTACCACTGGCATCCCACGTTCTCTTCGTGTCCACAAGGCATCGAATCATATACGAACACCAGTTCATCTTGCATACTTTTGTTAGGTCATCGAGCATATGAACTATACGGAAGTTTGCTATTCCATTTGAAGAACTCTCAAACAGACAGGTAACCATAAGCACGAGAAAATGACGCTTGAACCAGTCTCCACCATCTACGCACTCATGAATCTTATCCAATACCTTTGACACCGTAATATTCGACTGTATTCTAACGTTGAACAACCTAACCCAATCATCAAGCAGCTCCGATGTAGCTCTCTTCTGTTTGTTTCTAATGTCAATATGTCCACGAGGGAAGCCGAATGCCGCATGCACATCTTCTTCCTTGATGTGCACCTTTTCACCATCATATAAATGCAACTTTCGATCCATGTGATTGAAGTTGTTCACTATCCAGAAGCCCATCTTCAATGGTGTGGCTGTTATAGTCAACTCTAACAAAGATCCGAGACCCATCTCACGAACAGCGTTCCTCTGAGCATCCGACAAACCAGAAACTGCCTTCACGAATATGGTAGATGACGACCTCGTATTCAGGCTCGGGAACAGCTCGTCATCTTCGCTGTCCATACCATTTCCAATAACAACGGCATCCACATCGTTGATGTCAATTTTATCACTGTCATCCATTACTTTCTTTCCCTTAACTGAAAGTA